AAGATCCGGGTGGGATGGCTGTTACATGGGCAGCAGAACTGCTGCTTCCCTGTGTGTCCAAGGATAGACTTCATGGCCTCCAAAGCTCCATTGCACTTCTTGCTTCAGGCCCATCACAGTTTCATCTCTGCATGCAGAAATCCTAGCAAATGGGGGAATACTCCCTCCTTGAAAGTAGCCACAGCTCCCTGCAGTGCAGGGAGAAAAACATCTTGGAAACATGAGATTTTTCAAGGTCAGAAGAAAGTGAGTGGGGCCAGTATAAACCAAGCAGTGACAGACAGTTTATAAGTCAGCTTTAAATTCTTTTACGCTGCTTTCTGCTGTAAACACGTGGAAGAGTCTGGTATCAGGTGAAGCTATGTCCAGGATGATTAACAAAGGGAAATGAAGTGATCATTGCCTGAAGTATCTCACACAGAGAGGAAATTCTGCAGTTTAATGCCAGGTAAAACGAGAAAGTTCCAATTTACAATCCATGAAGCATAATAATTTCTGCCACCCAACTCTGTTTTTCTAAGAATGCTATTTTTAAAGTACAAAACTGTAAAGCTTTTTTTCTATCAGCAGCTTCATTAAAAATACCATTTCATACTGACAGCTTTCTGTCATCATTTACAAAGACCAGAAGACATATTTAATAGAAGCTTTCCTTTACCAAGCAGCCTTTGCTTCATATCAGCTGTCAGAGAATGACTAAAACCCTTTTGTAACACAGACGTGCCCAATTTTAAACAAACTCACAGCTCAGCAATGCAAGACAACACACTTGCTGTTTCTGAGGAAAGGAATTTTAAACCAGCTTCCTTGTTCCTTCCTAGCCCCAACTGCTGCTGACTGAAGCATGTTGTACCAGAATGCTAAACAGTTACCATTACTTAAGGATATAAAGTCATGTTTTGCTATTGCAATTATAAACATAGTGCTGGGGGTGGGGTTTTTGTTGATACTGTTTTGCTTTTGTTCTGGAGGGGTATTCGGTAGCTTTATTTTTGTTGTTTGTTTTTTTGAGGGTTTTTTTTTAAATGAATTCTAAAACCAGCCCTGCTCAAGATCAGTTTGGGACCATGTTATATAGGTGCTATAGGTGCACAAACACACCGTGATTACAGTGATATTAGCAGTTTCTGTTTTGGACAGCTGCTGGCAATCTAGGGCCCTGTTTTCCTGGAAATGTGTGCTTGCAGAGGCTCACTGATCCCTGCCACAGCTCACTCTGTGGGTGTGTTGCTGAGCTCACACAGCCAGGATGAGGTCCAGCACCACTGAGTGTCCTGGTGCAATGTCTGCAGTGTCTGGTGACTGCATCACCAACCATTAATGAGAAGGAACAAACGGCCTGGGGCTCTTCCTGGATTCCTGGAAAGTTGGCAGGCTTTCTCCTGTCTTCTCTAGCTGTCTGTCTCAGCCTGCATGTAGAACAAGGGTTGATGCACTTCCAGAAAGCTGACTTCAAATGCAAAAATAATTTCTCTGTTCCACAGTGCCACAAACTGACAGGTGAAAACACATAACACTTCTTAACCAGAAGCCTGCAGAATGGTTGAAAGACACTTAGCACAGACTCAAGTGAGTTTGCTTGAACACATACTGTCCATGTTCAATGTGGATGCAGCTGAGAAAGACTCTTGGTTCATTTTCCAACCCTGTAAAATGTGATGCACAGCAGCAGCCACTTCAGGACTGCTTTTTCTCCCTGTGGCATCAATATTTGGAATTATGTTGGTGGAGAGGCACCTCAATGCATCCCAGTCATACCAGTTTGATGCCAGTGCCAGCAAGAGATGCACAGAGCCTGGAGAGAGTTCATAGTTCAGCAGGAGAGCACCTGAAGAGGAGCACAAAGGAATTCCAGCCCAACTTTAATTCCTCTCTGCAAGTATATGCAGCATGCAGAATAAAAAATGAGGCTAGAGATGTGCACTGCTGCAGGTCTGTGATCTCACTGGCCTCACACAGACGTGGTGGGATGGCTCCTGTGACTGGAATGCTGGAATGGAAATGTACAGGCTTTTGAAGAGGACAGAGGACATGAGAAGGGGGTGTCACCCTCTGTCAGTGACCATGGAGCTCCATCTGGGGATGTTGGAGGAGCTGATTGAGACCTTACAGGTCAGGATTAAAGGGAAGGACAAGACATCAAATAAAGCTTGTTAAAATTCAAATATCACTTCCCCCAAGATCAGGAGTCATGCATCCCAACAAAGAGGAAGTGAGGCAAAAATATCAGGATACCTTAATGGATTAGTAAGGAGCAAACAAAATAAGAAGTCTACAGAAGGAGGAAGCAAGGCCAAGGTAGCCTGGGAGGAGTACAGAGAAATTGTCTAAGCAGTCAGGGATCAGGTTAGGAAACTAAAGCAAGTCCTGATAGAAATAAATCTGGTCAGGGATGTCAAGGGTAACAAAAAAAAGCTTCTACTGGTGTGTGGGTGATAAAAGGAAGACTAGGGAAAATGGGGGCCCTCTCTAGAAGGAAACAGGAGCTCTGGTTATCCAGAACATGAAGAAGGCTGAGGTACCCCATGCCTTCTGCCTCAGTGTTCACTGCTAAATGCTCACCACACCACCAAGCTGCAGAGGCAGAGAGCAGGAAGAAGAATTTATACAAAATCATGGGTAAGAAAGGGAAAAGATTGATTTAGGCTTGGCTTATTTTGTCAAAAATTAAGCACACAACAATTTTCTGATTCATGTAAGAAATACAAACAAGCCTTTGACAGATGACTTCAGATGGAATAAACTTCCTGCTTATTCTGGGAGGTGAGAAGGTTTTAGGCAGGGCCCATCCACCTTTTTTGTCAACTGTGTATGTAAGCTACACAGAAAATCAGCCTCCGGCACACTATTTCTCGGAGGGGAAAATTATGCATAATGTGTAGAACTAAGGTAAATACAGCATGTTGCTTTTCAAATAAATAACAATCACTCCATCAGCAATTCATATAATCAGTGTGTCTGTAACAGGGCACTTCTGCTTAGCATGCCGGAAATGCTCCATGGAAAAAGGAACAATTCCAATACTTCCCCAGTCAGAGCTTCACCACTGCTGCCTATACAGTTCTGTTAAAAAATTTAAAAAAAATACATATGAAAGAGAAGAGACAGTCTTTGAGGAACAAGATCCAGTAATTTGATCAGTGTTCAGGCAGCATGTGGGAAGAAGGCAGCAAAAGATGCTTGCTGGAGGAAACTCAGGGACCTAGCCAGGCATCAGTGAGCAGATGGCTCCATCCTTGCAGTGAAGCTGAGCAGTCAGTCTCTTCCTCCTGCTGCTGCAACACTTCTCTGCGCACATCACCAAGAGATGCTGTACCTAAGGAACCCTCAAGCAGACTCTGTCAACCAGGCAGAAAGTCAAGACTTAAAAAGAACCAAAGGTGCCTCCTTATTTTTAAAGTGCTGCAAGAGTTTTTGTTATATACAAAAATTTTAAAGAAAAAAAATAAGAATAAATGATTTTTTTAAAAGGGTCTTGGGTCTGCACCAATCTCTTCTCACAGTTCTGTTGTTGTGGTTTAACCCCAGCCAGCAGCTCAGCCCCTCAGAGCTGCTCATTCACGCCCCCATAGTGGGATGAGGGAGAGAATTTTAAGAATGAGAAAACTCATGGATTGAGATGAAGACAGTTTAATAGGTAAAGCAAAAGCCACAAACCAAACAAGGAATTAATTCACCATTTCCTATGTGCAGGCAGGTGTTCCACCACCCCAGGAAGCAGAGCTCCAGCAGGCACAACAGTGACTTGGGAAGGCAAATGCCATCACTTGGAATGTCGTTCCCCTTCCTTCTTCTTCCCCTAGTTTTATGTGCTGAGCATGGTGCCATAAGGTGTGGAATGTCCCTGTGTTCAGTGGGGCCCAGCTGTGCCCCCTTCCAGCTTCTTGTGCAACATCAGCTGTGTGGCAGGTGAGGCTTTGCACAAGTGTAGGACAGAGGAAATGTGAGGAGTGGAAACTACAATTGTTTTGGCTGGGAAGATGCATGTGCACAGTCACACAGCTTGAAGGGATCCATGTGGCTGCTGCAGCTGGCAATCAGACAGGTTCCTTCCTGAGGGGTGAGGCACTTGGGACATGACCTGCTCCAGTGTCACAGGGGTCAAGAGAGCTGCTGGGTCTCATGATCCTGGATCCCACTCCTTTGCCACCAGCTCTGGTGCACACATGCTCTTAATTTCCTTGATTCAAGATAGACAGAGGTGGTGCCAATTGCAATGTTTGGAAAGGAAAGGCCTCCCCATGAAGCAGATGCAGTACCAACAGCTTCCGATTACCTTTAAATTTACTCCAGTCCTCCTGCTTGCTTTAAATTCGTATCTTCTTTGTCTCCACCTTTCCAACAGCAGCTCAACAGACAGAAAAATGGCTGTCACCTCATTTCTTTGGTCTTAGCTGCTGGAACTTTACTGGTTCATTCTTCTGTCATGTCAATGGAATGTGCCAAGTGCAAATCGTTAATCTAAGTGTATTTAAAATCATTTCAAAGCATAGAGGAGGTGCAGCTTCTCTGTCTTTACAGACACAGGTGGAGATTAAGCATTGTACAGGGGCCTCAGCTTTGATTGTTAGTGGAGTTCATGAAAAAATCCAATGCACTGCATCCCAGGTCTTCTGCTGTAATTGTGGTGCCTTTGAGGCTTTCTCTAAGGACTCACAAGTTCATGAGAAGGATGTGTCATGCACTGAATTGAAATTAAAATCTACTGTAAATTGTGGAAACTGAGCATGAGGAAAGCATTCTCACAGATAAGTGAAAAGAAGTGTGATGAACAAAAGCAAATGAAAGTGGAATGCTTCTTTGTAGATACTATTCACAGCAATTTGAAAACATCCAAAAAAGGCTGTGGAGCCCATTTTAAAAAGTGACTGGAGGCTGTCCCACAGGAGAGCAGTGAGGAAGCACCTACTGACCATCAGTGGGACTTAGGCTCATACCTCATACCTGTCCTTGGAATTTTGAAAAACAATTATACCCAGTGACTCACTAACAAAGGCTCTCATTCCAGGAAGCTCAAGGATGTACATTCCCTTTTAGCGAGATTCCAGCACGATGTAGACTCCATTTTTTGGTCCAAGTGTGGCTTTTGATTTGAGCTGCAAAGGAATCTGAAAGAGAAAAGAGCATCTTATGTGCAGTTGTGTTTGTTTATGTGTATATGACACCGCCACATACAGACAGACATTTTTGCTGGAGGACCAGTTCGTACCAGGATCACTGTGGAAGCTGTAAAGTGCTTGTTTTACAGTCAGCTGTGGTGGTGTAATATCAAGTAGAATTTACAGCCAGAGGCTGAGGCAGTGGTTACCCAGGAATGCTGTAGATTTGAACAGAAAGAAATTAACTCTATAAACTCTAGAGCTGGGTGCAATGTCCATAGAAATAGGCATATACCAAAGTGCTGAGGTCCTGTGAAATACGTACACACATTCTCACCCTCTATGAATGATGATGTTTTGCCTGTGGCCTTGCCATACTGCTCTCCACTAAGGCAGGGCTGTGTAACAGTCCTTTTGTTGGAAAAATTATGTATCTGAAATCACATTTTACTTAAAATGTGCAGTACATGCCTGGTCTCTCCTTATTATGGAAGTGTCTCTGGCAGTTTTCTCAAATGAAGAGAAATCACAAAGGCAAACCAGTTGTCCTGCCTAGGACACACTGTCAATTCCCTCAGGTTAACAAGTGTGATCTTTAAGCCTCTGCATGTACAAACCTCAGTCTCTGGGCAGGTCTTGAATTTAAACTTCTGCAAAATCCTCAGCAGAGTAATTTTTGTCTCCAACAAACCCATTTTCATGCCAAGGCAGCCACGGGGTCCTGCCCCAAAGGGCAGGTATGCAAAGGGATGTCGTTCCTTCTTGGCCTCCTCTGTAAACCTAGAAGGTGCAGAGATGGAAACCAGTTCAAGAAACACTTTTTGCTCAATTCCACGTTTTAATTTAAATCTCAAAAGCTGGTTATTTCAATTGATCTTAATGGATAGGTCTTGGGGACTATTGATAGATTATGTCCTGACATCCCATGTAAAAAGATAATTGACTATGGCCATCAGCCTTTGTCAGCTGGTGACTTCAGGAGAGGACATGGAGACATGAGTTTTATTTCCAATCTATCTTTAATGAAAATCTCTCATCTCTTTGGATTCAGTTTCCAAAAACTTTGGACAGCTAAGGTCCAGAGAACTCATGCAGGGTAGAAAGATATGAGAAGTAATACAGGCTAATTGGAGCTTTGGCAAAAAAAAGAATATTGTGTATTTCCCCTAATTCCATCCCCATGCTTTGAAAACCTAAATAAGATTGAGCCACTACTCCAAAAAGTACTATAGAGACCCCTAATTTGAGATTGAAGGACCATTAATTCATGTACTAAGCACTGTTGCATAATCAGATAATTCTTGCCTTGCTCACCCCCATATATCAGCCTGGAAAATTTAAAACCTCCCTTGTTTTATTTCTACCACCAACTTCAAAATGAAATATTGGGGGAGGGAAAGGGGAAGGCTGCAGCTGAATTATTTTATTTCATTTTTTGTTATGCTCTTATTTTATAATTCTTGCTAACATCTGAGCAGAGTGTTAGTACTTATGGATCATTCCTTGGGGAAGGTTCAAAAGGGAATTAATCTCAGATTCATACCAAACAGCACTGTGTGAATCAAGGGGACTGCAGCCCCTACTAACCATTTCACCCTTTCATACTACTGTTAAAAGTGGTGAACAAACAATTAAGAAAGCATTTTTAGATAAGCATTGCTAAAAATACCCACCCCAGACTTCCAGTTGCTGCTAAGATTCCTCTCCAACAAAATCTCTGGGCTTCTCTAACCCTGGCATTGCTCTTCATCCTTCTCTAACCCTGGCATTGCTTTTCTTCGTGGCCAAAGGATTCTAATGGAGCATATGCCTAGATTTGTTCCAGAATGAACAATAGAAAAATCCATCTACACCACACATGTGTTGTCCTACTGGCAAAGATGGTTCTGGGCTGCCAGCCTCACACCCAGTTGTTTATGGAGCAGGCACTTCTTTTCTAGGTAAACTTCTGAATGTAGTGGTAGCTTAAAATGCATCTGCCCACTAAATAGTTTAAAAATATAGCTGCCCACAAAACTAAATTGTGCTTCCACACAGCTCCACATCAGCTGAAACTCTCCCTGTAAACTCAACCCAGCACCTGTAACCCAGGGCAGGTACAAAACCACAGCTTGACAGGGTTTCCCTTGCCCACTGAAGATATTGAATGCTCCGTGTGAAACCATCTTGCCCAGCAAAAATCAAGGATCCTAACTTACAGACAGGGAGGAAATGCCCAGTGGGAGATGGGGTAGGTTCCCCACTCACAGAGTACCCACACTGTCATGTTTCAAGTGAAAAGAGGGCTCTGAACCAGCAAGGAGCTGGATGAGTTTCCCAGGTACAGCCAAGCCTGTCCCACTTCAGAATTTCAGCACCCAGAAACAACATCATTCACAGGATCTGATTTGGAAACAGGTCTGAAAACCTCTGTCCCAGTTCAACCTTGACCAAACCTTGCACCTTCTGTGGAATACACCACTATCATCACTTGTCTGATTTAGTGGAAATAACATGTTTTTATGGTCTAAATAAAACTGTGCTCCTCTTGGTGGAAAAGCTGCTTTGGATGAATAGTGGGTGACTGTGGCTGTGAGAGTGCAGCAGGATCTGGTGCCTGCAGATGTTGGAGTTCTGTGCCCACAGGCCCAAGTAAGGACCTCAACCAAAGGGTGAAAATACCTCTCACATACCTCTCAGGAATGAACTTCTCAGGTTCTGGCCAGAACTCAGGGTTGTGGTGAAGGTGTCCAACTGCAATTTCAATGACAGCTCCAGCTGGAATATGCTGCCCCAGCACTATGCAGTCTTTAGCTGCTTCCCTAGTGAATCTGCAACATCATCATGCATCCCAGACGATTAAAAAAGGTTAAAAATACAGCAGGAGAGATCTATAAAAGTATCTGTCTTCATCTGACCAAACAATTTCTGGGTAACACTTTCTCATAGATAAATACAACAAGTATTGCTGATGCCAGTGTCTTCTCAGGTTACAATCATCTCCACTTAGAAGTCCATAGCTCCAGCCCAGGTGGTTGACTTTTGCCCTTTTCACACGAAAGCATTTCTGGTTGTTTACTGTTTTCTAAAGCATGAACTGCTAAACTGCAATTTTATTGTTGACGTTGGGTTTAGACTCGTTTTTTTAATGAAAATTGCTGATGAAATGTGTCAGTCATCACTAATAACAGATAGAAGGAGTATGCTGGTTTGCCTCCAGGAAAAAAAGGAGAGTAAATATAGCTTTGAGTTTTTTTATTTGAGAAGCTCCCCCCTGTTGATACAGTACCTGAAACTCAGCAAGGGATTATTAGTTATATTAGTTGTAATATTATATTAGTTGTAATATTAGGGCTGAGTGTTCTGCTGCTACTCTAGAAATACAACTAAGTCACAAGCCTTGGAAAAGCACATTTCACATATATTCATCAAAGACAGGCATGATGTTAAAAACAAAACTCTGCTGCTTTCTCCCACCCTGTGGTGAGAGGTGACAGAGGTGTCCTTAGGAACCTCATCATGACAAGACTGAGAAAAGCCACCGGCCAAAGCCCAGCTTGTGTCTTACAAAAGATTGTGTGGGGGTGTGCATGTGTGGTTCTGATCCAGATCTTTTGGTGCTTGGGTGGTCACTACAGACCCCAAATCAGCCCAGACCCAGGTGGGTGCCCTGCTGTCTCACTCTGGGAACTATTCCCTCACCACCTGCAAGAACAGGGGAGAGGCAATGTGCAGGAACTTCCTTTGCTGCTTCCCACACTCTGCTAAAAAGTTGAACAAAGATTTCAGCTTCAGGGCTGTCAGTCTGGTATCATTACAGAAACACATTCTTTCCTTGCTGTCACCCATCTCCCTTTCTCATGGACAAATAAATAACAGAGGCTCCAAACCTGGAACAAAATACTGGCATTAAAAATACAAACAGACAAACAAAAAAAAAAAAAACCCAAAAAACCAAAAAACTTTAACAAGCTATCCTTCTCATTCTTACATGAACTTGGTGATAATGGAAACATGAGTTCTGGGGAGAAAGTTCTCTGGATAGTAAGTTCATAAAAAAATATGAAACCAACTCATTTCATAACAAACTTGGCTGCTACTGATTTTTCACTGAACTCAGCATAATCCTTGTCATAGGCAATTAACATCTTTCAGCAGCCCCGAGCTGTCCTATCCATTCCACATCCATCAGAGTAAAAGCCAGATCAATAAACAGCCCTGACAACACCAAACAAAACTTCAGAAGAACTTGTTCTATTCTTGTTCTGTCTCCCATCTGACAAACATGGATTGTTTCCCAGTGATAGAGCCCAAACTCAAAGACCCCTGTCACTTTAACCAGTTTCCACTGGTACCCCAAGTATAACACAGTAAAACCCCATCATCTCATCCAGGAGTAGATATCTCATATTAACTCTCTGAAGAATCCTGCAGATACCCATGAAAAAAATTTTGACTCTCAATCTTGGTGAACATATAGAAGAGAATATGATTTTAAGCTTTTTTCATTCTAAGGTGCTTGCAGTCATGGGTTAAATTTTTCAAAAGCTCTCACAGCAAGCTCAGCTTTGGCTTCTTTCCAGTAATCTGAATTTTTCCCTGAGCTTCATGAGAAGCATTGCAACTGGCTGATCTCTTTGAAAAAATTGTATTTCTTAATATTTTTATTTATACTTGTGATAACTTGGAGCTTTGAGAATCAGTTTTTGAATTTCTTTTTTTGCTTGTTTTCAGTTCATCAATATAGAATAAGTCATGTGTGACTTGGGACAAAACTTTCAAAAGTTAATGGATGTTATCATTATTTAGCTCTATTAGTATAAAGCAGTGCTAAGTGTAAATGGGCCAAAGTTAAACAGAAATGTAAAATACAGCTTGCAGACTGTGCAACCCTTCCACAGATCAGGGCTGTAACAACCAACAGAGCCCTGATGGGGATGAATTTTGGTGCAAAACCCCAAAGCCTGAGGCACATGGAATTGCAGCCTCTGGCTTTCTCTGGCCAGACCTGCTCCAAAATGGCTCCATCCTCCAACCTTGGGGGATGTGAGGAATGGTGAGGAAGCAACCTTGGCCAATTCACTATAAAAATGTGCTTTAGAAATACCAGAATTTTCCAGCTTTCCTTCAACAGGCCGCATGATATCTTTCAAATGCACAAAGCAGTATTGATGTTGGCACAGAGACTGAGAGACCATTGGTCTTCCAAGAGCAGATTTCCATTTCACAGAGCCAGGGAGCAATCCTGTGTAATCAGAAGGGGAAAAAACCATACCTGAACGCAGGTGGGTACATGCGCAACGTCTCTGCAATCACCATGTCCAGATAAGGGAGTTCTTGTACATTTTGGCAATCAGGGACCATCTGAAAGGGCAGGACAAAAGGAACAATTATGTTTTCTCACATGTAAGTGCCAAACTCATCCCAGATTAGCTTTTAAATCATCTATTTTTTCCTGGGCATCTTTCCTGTAGAAGAACTCAATGTCTCATCTAAAACAGTAAATGATAAAATTATACAAAAATGTGGGCAGTAATTAAATGTGTGTGTAACATTCCTTTCATCATCAAAACGCTTTGGTGCACAGCCCAGCTGAAGGTATAATAATAAATCAACTTGCTAGGAAGCATTAAAAGCAGGTCATTACAGAGAGCATCAATAGCTGAAACAGAGCTATTGTTTCACACATGTACCAAAATCTGCACAGGACCCTTGTTCCTTCCCAAGGGCAGGAGGCTCACACTTTGTTCACAGAACAGCAAGTCCTCCAGTTACTCTTGTTGATGTTGGAACAACCCCTGTGCAGTTCCCAGCTATAGAAATAAAGCAGGGTGCTGGTGCTGTGATGCTTGTGGAGGGGTGGAGATGGCACTGGAAGATGTTGGAACCCCCATGAGGAACAGTTCACAGTGGGAAATTGCTCTGCTAAGAAGTGAGGTGCCAAGGTAGAGCTCAGATCCCACCTGGCAGCACTGCAGTAGTGCCTGAGCAGAGAAGCCTGTTTCCTCCAGCCCCTGCTTAATGGTGCTTAATTTTTCACAATGGTCAATGCCTAAGCCCACGCCTTCACAATCCTACAGAGTCATTCAGCCCTTGACAAGGAGTGGTGGGCACTTAAACCCCCACAGGGCTGTAGCTCAGAAGACTTTGCCCTCTGACTGGCAACAGACAGACAGTGAGAGACACCAAACAGCAGCACTGACACGACTCAGCACACAGATAAGCAGGGAATTTCTTCCAGTTACCTTCCTTGGGAAAAGGGCATCTTCCCTGTTTTATTCAGTGCTCTCAGCAGAGGGCAGCCAAAGTATATTGAATAACCTCATCAGGAAAGTAGAGTTTTGTTTTAAATTAGAGCATCTCCTAAGGACTGACACAGAGTAAATTGGAGAAAAGCACAGACGTCAGACTAGACTAAACCTTTTATGAAGATTTGGGGCCCCTGCCGTTCACAAAGGGGACTGGATTCCATCCTCCCTTTATTTACTACAGCACTTTTCATGTATAATGCATATTTTATTGAATTTTCATGCAAAAACATATGGTACATACTGAAAATACTAAGCAGAGAACAACTCCAGATGGCAGGCAGAAAAGGCATACAATAGAACAAGGATACCTTGCTGGATTAGGGTATCCCACTTATTCAGCACTAAGCCACCATGCACCATTTCACATTAACTGATCTTTTCTAGGAAGGAAATAGATACATTCTATTATCCCCATTTTCTGGCTCAGGAAAGAGAAGCAGAAGCAGAGAAAGTAATTTGCACAGGCTGAGGAGAACCAGTGTGTGTGCTTCTCTCCCAGGGGAAAAGATGCAACTCAGCTTGTCAATAGATGAAGTATTTTGTCAGTATATGACAAATATTATCAATACAGGAAATATGGACTGCACTGACAGCCTTTCAGTGCGGCTTTTATCTTGTGGTGGTGCCTGCTAACTCCAACCTTTGGCTTAGGTCAGTGGTTATCAGACAAAGGACTAGGAGCCCAAAAGCCACATGAGAGCGATGGCTGACATCTGTGTGAGAAGCATTGCTCCAATAATTCCAGCAGCTAAAACCAAAGCTGGGAGAATGATTTTTATCACCCTTGTTTTGCAGAAAGGGATCTGAGGGCTGCCTAATTTTGTGGGGGAAATCAGAAGCAGAGGCTGGAAATGCAGTCTCAAATTTCAGTTCTTCATGGCACAATTTCCTTTCTCCATGCCCACAGAGGTGCTCCACTCCTCAATGCAAATGCATGCTGTGGTTTGCATGCTTTTATTTTTTCTGCCAGTTTTACAATTATCATTCAGAACTTTCCCCTCACCTTTTTATACTGCTGTCCTGCATCTCTTTGAATCCTGAGTCAGCATCTGAGTCCTGTTCCTGCAATGCCTCCTGATTTCATGGACAGGCTGGCTGAGAGGAGAGTCCAGGCTCGGAGAAAATGAGTGGTGGAGCCAAGAGCACACTGAGATGTGTTTGATTCTCTGAACCATGCTCTTTCCACTGGGCCTTCCTGTCTCGCTCATAATCCCCCTACTTACTTCTGGAGTCAATAATTAAGATAATTATATGGTAACCTGATATAATAAGTAGCCACTAAATCAAACCATACATCAACGAATAATATAACACTAAATTACTGGAGCTTTGATTTGCTCTTTCAAATAGCTTCTATACCTTCAGGGGATTAGCAGTTCAGAAAACAAAACAAAAGGTGTAAAACCAGCTAATTTTCCTTAGAAGAAAATTCCTTTTGCTTACATAAAGAAGGAGGGGTCAGTCAAATGGCAGCAGAGTGAACTCTGCTATCATGAGAATGACAGACACATCAGTCATTTCCTACATCTGACGCAATTTAATTATTGGCACTTCCATGCTTTTAGCATCAAAGTAGCTGGACCTAATTTAGTGGTTGTTTGCAAGGTCTGACCTGCAGCTGCGTAAAGTACACACAAGCCAAGCATCTCTATTTAGGAAGGACAGTTTGTTGCTTTTTTTTCCCCTTTCAAAGAAAATATTTTCCATTTGTTTTTCCACTCCCTCTCTTAAAAATATGCCTTTAGCCAAGCACATTTCAAAAGAACATAAATATGCTTTTCTCCCTAAATGTCCCTATTTATATCTATCAACTGCTGGCAGGTTTTCTGGGGTGAAGATGGTGTTGTGCAAACACGCCACTTTAACCCCCTGGAAAAAAAAATTGTCTAGATTGCCTTGTACTCAAGATGAGGCAGCTTTTTTCACTAAGAAAGATTTCTCTCTTTAACAAGAAGAGATGGGGGTGTGAGGGAGGATTGCATTTAATAAAACATCCTGTACTTTAATTTTGCAGCCACTGCTTTGCACAGCAGTTTTTCTTATGCTTTGCACAGCCTTGTAGTGTCTTTTCCTGTTGAGGTGGAAGTGAAATGGCCATGTAACATCTTGTGGCATTTCTCTGCATGCATGTTTCCCCAGTTTGATTTCTGGAGGTGAGGTGGTACACCCTTACCAATCCCAGACTATTCAATCACTTCTGGCATCTAGTTTGGCCACAGACTCTCCTTTATGACTGACAGAAAATCACAAGCCTCCATTACGTAGAAAAAGATGGGAAATTAATTCTTCCTCCCACAGAGTACCCTGAGGTGAAATACCAGCAGTGATTATAAAATTGCCTATGTGCTACAAGGATGACGCTTGTTTTAATCCCCATATAAACTCCAAGAGAGATAACTACCTTCAGATCCACCTCTGCTTTTCAGTATTGGTTTTAGCATTTTCTAGGCAGGCAAACCTATTTTTTACCACCGCCCTCAGTTAACTTTTAATTCCTCAATGAACAGCAAGGGAATCCAAGTGCTGACAGGAGCGGTCTGGCCAATTTCTGCTGCAGTTTGAGATGTTACTGCTCCCAGTTGCTGGCTCTTCTTTGCTGGCTGTGGTTGGTGTCACCACAGCCAAGTCAGCAGAAGGGAACATATGCCTGCACCTCAGTTGCTTCCATACAAGGTCCAGCATGAGCCCATCTTCAGTGACAGCTCAAGACGAGACACTAACTTTTCCCCAAAGCAGCTGATGATCATCCTCCTCTACTGCCTCTGTTTTGGGAATGGTAATTCAAAGTACACATCAGTGAATAAGAGATTCCCACTTATCCTATTGGCCATGCTCTAGTGATGCTCAGCATCCAGAAATAAAAAAAAAAAAAAAATCAGAGAAAATTTTGTGCAGCTGACAGTGTGATGTGCACCTGAAATCAATTTAGAAGCAGAAAAGCCTGCCGAGACCACATTCCTCACAAGGAGCACTGCTGAGTCATGGCCTGATACTGAACCAGCTGAGGTTTCTGAGAAATTGCAATCCAAATCCAATGTCTCGTGGGCAGATGTGGCTGTGACAAAGTCCAGGTCAGAGAGATGCCATGCAAATCTGCTTTAAGCAGATCCATGAGTTACCTGTGTATGCATAGCTACACATGGGCTCTCCCCCAAAATGCAGCCTTTGGAAAGCAATAGGATAGGAGTAAAAAAAAAAGCCAGTATCACCCCCAGGTACCCTCACCCAACTCCCTTTCAAATTGCCAAAAGGGCTACTCAGACCACAGCCATTCACAAACAGCTCAATAATGTTTCTTGATCCAAGGCATACAAAGCTGCTGATAGATCAAGCAATCTGCCTGTGGTTTTGACCTCTCTTTGGTCACCTCCAGGAGCTGCTCATACTCTAACAGAACTAGAGCCTGTGTGCCTCACTTGGCCTCAGAGAGGGGGAAGAAATGCAAGAATGTGAAGTACAAGAAAGTCAAATTAGGGTTACCCCATGACACCTTTAGCAACAACCCTGTCAGGAAAGGAAAGGTGAGAGACTGGACTGCACTCAAAATGCAGATCAATGATAGAAAGGGGTGGGATGGTTTAACATATCTGTCTTTAACTTGCTTGAAGCAAGCTCGTCTTGTGTTTGACCACTTCCATGACAACATGCTGGAACTCCTGTAAAGCACCAACCTAAAGCATCCCTACAATCTCAGGCAGCAGGACAGGGACAAAGCCAATGAAGTAAAATTTCTTAACTTCATCCCCAGAACTTGGACCAAACACTTAAAAAATGCTAAAGGCATTCCTCATGCAATACTTACTGCAAATTCCCCTCTATGTTGTCTGCACCTGCCAGGTGAGATGTGTCCCTCAGCCAAGGCACCAGCAGAACCAGCCCATGCTGCTCAGGAAACAGGACCCTGAAGCTCCAAAGTCCCACTCTGACAGACAGATCATGGCCTTAAGATAGAGCAAAGCATGCCTAAAATCACCAAGTGTCTGTTGGCCACTTCCAGTGACAGAGACCTACAGAACATTTTAGCAAAATATTAAGCTCTTGACTACAGAATTG